AAAAACGCAGAAAGAATGGATGGATTTTTTCTTCTTCTTTTTTTCAACTTTATTTGAATACAGAGTCCCAAATCAATATTTACAATTGCTCTTCCTGAGAGCCGTATAAAAAATTACAATTCTATTTAAACATGAATGATTAAATAAAAAAATTGTATTAAAATATAAATTCCATAGTAAAAAAACTATATGTAATTGCATTTAAAGAGGTGATCTGTAGCCTATTTGGACATTCCACAGTCCACCTCTTTAATATTCAGTTGTTTTCTAAAACTTCTTATATTGGGTTGTGTCAGACCTCGGCAGGGATTTTGTTCCACAGAGTTGTGCAGTTTGTTCCACAGAGGGTTGATGGGATGCAGTGGGTGGATAGATAGACAGATGTAGTATGAAGGTATGGAGAGAGAGATGGGTAGAATGATAAGGGTTTGATGAAATCTCCAGGACTACTTACTTAATACAGAAAAACACCTAAGTAGTTCATTATGGTTTTTGATTGTTCCTGGGTTGTTATAGTCTGGAGTACTGCAAGCCTAAAACAAAGTATGATTTATAGAGGAGTTAGAATTATTTTATTTTATTTTACTTAGCCTTGCTATTTTAAAAAATGAAGAATCAGTAAGGAATTCTACTCTTCGAAAATAATTCTGATTAATATTACAAGAGGCTAGGAATATATTACATGTTTTTGTCTAATTACAATAGACCCCCCTCCCCTAAAAAGATTGAAGATTATATAAATAAAGTAGGCATTACTGAATGTATAAAATGGAAGTTTAATGACACCGAATGTATAGCAAAAGTAAAGTCATCCCAGTCTTACAACTTTTGGGTACCATTTTCTTTTCTCTCCCTCTTTCTTTTTTTTTCTTTCTTTCTTTCTTTCTTCCTTTTTTTCTTTCTTTCTTTCCTTCTTTCTATATTTTTATATATCTTTTCAAGCATTATTTTATATCATGTGAGATTAAATATTATTTAACTATACTCAGTAGACTCTTTCTTGCAGACTCAAATAAATTTATATCCACTTCACCCTAAAATGTCTAATAAAACTTTGAGTATAAACTAATCCTTTTGCCTCATGGGCTATTGACTCATAGACCATTCGGGCTGAGGTCAAATTGTTAAATATCAATTACCATACCATTACTTACCATGGTGTGTAAGCCGTTCAGTAGAGCATCAAGATGAGGTGCAAGAATAGCACTACCTTCACTGCAGGCTGCATCAAGGACAGAACACAATCCCTATTACCAATACAACATCAGTCACATGTTAGTTCCAACCTCTGAACACAATCCCTGTTGCCAAGACAACATCAGTCACATGTTAGTTCAGACCCCTGAACACAACTCCTGTTGCCAAGACAACATCAGTCAAATGTTAGTTCTGACCAATTAGCACAATCTCTGTTACCAAGACAACATCAGCATCTATAATTTTGTCCCCTTAAAAGTCCCACAATGCATTGCAATACCAACTCAACCCAGGTTTTTTCTCGTCCTCAGAATGGCTTTCCCCTTTCGTTTTTACATTGCAACAGCTATTTTTTCTTTGTTTGAATGAACTACGAGTACATTATTGAATAGAATATTTTATTATATGTACGGTATATCACATACCTGAGTAATGAAATAATGGTCACTATGTTTCTTGTACAGATTGGTAATGCCTGGTAATAGCTTTGGCAACTGTTCCTCTAACTTGTCATGTGACATGATGTGGGTCATGTGACCAATAGCAGTTATTACTGCTGTACGAATCTATGATAGGGGAAAATATGAATACTAACATATAAAAAGTAAGAATTCAAAATGTATTGAATGGAATGGTTTGAATCAGCTCATAAAAGTCTTTGAACATCATTATCTGCTCCAAAAGGTATCCAATCGCTGAACACCATGCATGTGATGTCAAGCAGAAATAATTCTGTTGAAAACTTGAGATTCAGCTGATGTCAACATTCCACACAAGAAAAGAAATGCCGTCAAGCAAAACCCAGCAATATTTAACAATTATTAGCCAAAGGCGAAGTGATTATTGGTGGGATATTTACCGAGCTGTGAGTCTTCAAGGGGTTAGGTAAATATCACCATAATCACTGAGCCTGAGGGGAATAATTGTTTTAGTATAATTTTAGACTTGAATATCAGCGAAAAGTCGAAAGTCAGGATAAAAAAGCGTTTTAGTATTACTTCCAATCTGGAAAAGTTTGGAAAACCTCATAATCACTCCTCCCACAGTGATTACCTGTCTCATAATCACTGGTCACTCAACCAATCAAAGCTTGAGTAACTCTATATCCGAGTCTAAAATTATACTAAAAGCAATTATTATAAAATGCTAATTTGATAAAACCCTGAAGCAAGCTCTGAGCTCTCCCTTGATCTATTTGTACCGTACGTTATGGCACAGCCAACTCATCACTAAATTGGAAATATTTCATTATAGTGTTTGCTAAAAGTCTGAAGAGAGAGAAAAATCACCAGTAAAAAAGGCTTTCAAATCGAGAGAGAGTCCCAACAAAACTCTACTCATACAGTATGTGATGCCAAGTCCAGGAATTGAACCCAAGACCCAAGAGGTGAGAGGCAAGAGCACTACCAAGGTCAAGTACAATGAACATTATACAAAAAACTAGATTTAAAACTTTAATTTAGAACAAGACTGTTTTATCCCTTATTCAATTATCCTCTACTTGCAGCTAAATTTTTAACAACAATTCCATGAACTGCAAGAACGTCTTTTTGCAGAACCGGCAGCTCAATGCTCTAAATTCCAATTTGATATGTTTACCATACTTAATAGTTCTAAAGTTTGTAACACATACCTTTGGTTCATTTGACTTAAGCCAAACATTGAACAGCACATCATATGCCGAGTAGATCTCACCAAAGAATCTGTCTATAGTAATGTCTTGGTATGGTGCATTCTCAACATTAGCAATGTACTCCAAAATACTTTCAGAAAACCTGCCAATACCTTTAATGAGGATTAAACAAAACAGGAAAATGTTAGTATGGGAAAGCAGAAAGTTCTAGATATCAAGGGTCCGAGAAGTTGAGGTAAGATATTGGTGCATCAAAACTGCTCTGTTTTTACTAACAATATTCCTTGTAAAGGGGTTATACACTCGATATACACATATAGATCTATTTTCAAGGAGGGAGAGAAGCTTGAAAACCCGGAAAAGAACCCTTGTAGCAAGTGAGAAAACAACACACCAAACCAAACAAACTCAACTTACATATGTGGTTCAGTCAAGTCCAGTCAAACTTGAAACCCCAGTCATGAACTACACCATTGGTAGTTAAAAACAATACCCAAGCAGCATAAGTCACCCAAGCAGGTCATTCTTTACTGATTATTTAATCAGTGTATCATTTCAGTATCAAAATATTCACATGGTAAAGTAAAAAATGCAGGCAGTTTATCTTTTCATTTTCGGCCAGACAAACTAATAATAGACCCCTTTCGAATTCCAAATTACCGCTGTGTTTCTTGATTACRGATTTTGTTCAGAATATTCACGCGTTCCAGTCAAGGTCCGTCGAGTTTCAAAATGTTTGAATTGTTGAAGTTGTGCATTCTTTACTTTACCGTTGGTATTTGTGAACATTTAAACACTGATACGAGGCTAACCCTGTGCAAATGAGTCTGTAATCCAAGAATACAGCGTTAATTTGGAATTTGAAACTGGTCTATTTTGGTGTCAGAGCTCCAAATCTCCAAATCTCCCCTGCAATTTTATTTTTCATTTTAGTCCATGGGCCAGGGCTCGACCATGGTAACACTAAGGGGGACAAATTGTGAGTTATGCCAGGTTAAAGGTCACCTAAAGTTGTTTCAAAATTTATAATGATAGCATTCCTAAAAGAGTAGCTTTGTGGTATTTTTTGTAACATCAAATTATTGAAAAATATCGATTTAGCATGAAAACGAGGCTGGGATAGATTAATTTATAAAAATAGCTTTGCATGATTTTAA